TGCTTGAATTCCTGTCACCGAAGCATCTCATCCCAAATGTGGAATTCTTTCTATAGCGACTGATGATATAAGTCGTTAATATCGGCATATGCACGGAATGGGCGGAGTTACACATGATGTTTCGCCCACACTGTGGAATGATTAAGTACGGGGCACTTCCGTGTGATTCGTCGGTATGTTTGGGACAGCCCACTGAACTTGAAAAGCTAGGCGGACGAAAACGCTCAGAATATTAATAACGACGCAGTTTCGTCGAAACAAGCCAGCATTTCAGACAGCAATTGAACGTTGCCGGGTGATCTGAGGTGTAAATTAAATTAAATTAAAATTTATACTCATCATTCGTTTCGTCAATCGCGTTATGGGGTCTACGACAGCGACACATGGCGTCCCGTCAACTGGTAACTAGGTTACGCCCGTCTAAGCGACCAATAGGAAACATGAACGCAAACGACAACCAGAGCTGATTTAATACATAACGTGAATTATAATGTCGCCTGCATAATTAGACAGAATGACAGAATTTACGTGAAGTTTCGCATAAATTCCTGATCACATGATCGGCTTCGTTTGTTCTAATATTACTGTAGTAGAAGCAACCGGTTCAGTTGAACGCTTCCCGGTACAACGTCACCTCTGCTGTTACTAGCCTCATCTATTTCAAGGTAAGTGTGGATTATGTGTGCCTGTGTGCCGTGAGACGGTTTACCCACCAGACGCCGGTTACTGACCAACCATCAATACTTCCCACTTTAGATGTATCGTTTTCGACAGAATCGCATTTACGTCGTAGCAAGGTAACAAAAAGGCGTGTAAGTTTTAACATGACGAAAATAAAATATTTAATACGTTAGCGAATTTTCATTTTTTACGTGACGTATGTTATGATAAAAGGTAGGAATACTTCCTTCTTCCTTATACATTAGTCTCACCTCACCGTTTTTCAAACGCATGTCGTAAACCGTAGACAGTGAGATAAATAATGCAATGCGCAAGTCCTTATTGCCGGTAAATAAAACGACGGGCATGCGCAGCAGGACACACACATTATATGGGAGCGGTCATATTAAAACTGGTATAAGTAATGAGAATATGATGTAATGTCTGTTTTTCCCAAACACTATGTGGGGTGTTTACAGAGTCACCGGGCGTTGTCTACGGCGTTCATTACAATGCATGATACACTGTTTGACCAGGGAAACGATAATCGAGGCATGAATACACAATTCATAAAGAATTCTCTCGAGTTCTTAGAAATGTTGACTAATCCACACCGTTTCAGTTTCGGAATAGAATAGAATACTGTAATATCACGGTAAAAAAAAAATTGACATTCCTTTTTTGGTACATACATGGTGATAATGCTTTGGTTAGAAAACAGCAGAAAATGTCAGTTAGCTTAGCATGAATTTCATAATGAGTTAACATATCTATAGGTATACAGCAGTATCTCACCAAGACATTGGTCTTTCGCAAATTGACTAAAATTTCTTTATATTTTGACGACGACATGCTGCTTTTACTTTACCGCATATTTCATTTTGTGAGTACAGGAGATTCTTATCCTTCAGACACAGTCTCATATCTCGGTGAGTGGCTTATGTTTACAAATCAAGCTTAATTTAGAAGAGCCGCTTTAATTAATATTCTGTAGATAATTTCTTATTAATCATCCACAGTCTCAACATTTCAATTATGGTGTATATATTGCTTAGAGGGGGGTATCTACATATTTGGGAATGGGAATACATTACATTCATATTACCTGTCGTGAGATCGAATCACTAGGAGAAACATTCAGATACACCAAGAGCACAACAATGATATGTACATGGCACAAGGAGATATCATGTTAATGATGATAATTTGTTCTTATTTCAGAAATACACAATGCCATTAAGCCCGGCTCAGTTTCTGAAAAAACATTATGAGGTAAGAACTGACCATAAACTGCTAGTCACGTGATTTCTCAGAATAGTGCTCACAGTTAACTAAATAATTAAAACACTAAACATTAAATAATGGAAAATATGTTATTTAGGAATTCCAAATATTAGAGCAGTTTCTTAAAGGAAGGTGGTCGTCGCGCAGCGCATGTTCACGCGTTGTATACGTCACGGTCGCTATGAGTTCTAAATCAAACTGGACACGGCGCGTGTTTATTAGAATGACAAGGACATACGTGTATTGTTAAAGAGAAACAATTAAATTAAACACTGTCAGTTGTATCAAAACAAAATTACGAAAATCACGCATATATTGCCGCTGACGTATAACGAATTGGAACAAATTAAACCGCTGTATGTTGTGATAATATTAGAACTGCGATGTTACGATTGTTTGATTTAAGATCGACATGTTTATATTGCCATTAATCAAACATCGACCTCTGACAAATGTGCCGATGGGCGGCAGATAAAAGCAAACAAAAATATCGCAATAATAAATAAATTACAGGTTGATTTGTCAAAGGTCACACGAAAAAATCTAACGAGTGTCAGAAATCTCAATTTCAAGTTCAACAGGTCTTCTTTCCTCGCTACTTCTGCCAAGCCCGTATCGTTATGTTTTTGTTTGTAAAAATCTCGGTACAAATACAACCAGTAATACGTTATATATTGTTCGGAGATAGGGGCAAATCAGCAGTCCCCACTGCCCAGAATGCATTGCGGCTAGTGACGAGTACTGAAAAACATGGGCCAATACTATTGTAGATAATTAACCAGCCGAAAGTTGTTTTCATTACATCGTGTTCATTTCTTTCCACCTTTGTAATATTGGAGTCACGGAGAATCAGGTCGAAGTCATAAAAGAACCAGGGTGTTTTGTGACATTTATGGTTTCGCTCAAATCCTCGTAAACAGTTTCAGGTCAATCGTTAAGAAGGTTGAGTGTGACGCATTTGAATATCAGCCAAGATTCCATCATCGATAAACTATCACTTTAGACCATTTTAAGAGGCTCAGATTCCACGCATAGATGGCAAATTTAGTCTCACATGTCAATGAATAAGTAGAAGTTTATTTTGTTTTCTCACGGGATACGAGAACGGCGGGTAGTGGTTGTCACTTCGAGCTTATGACCGGTATCTCCGGTTGATGCGGTATTCATGTACACACAGTCACACACCCTGAGAATCGGAGTCGAGAGGATTTAATTACTGGGCGTTTGGCACGATCAAGTGGCGCTGGATAGCACATTAAATTGTCACTATTATGATATGAAGATGGACGGAGACACCACGGCTACTGTAACCGGGCCAAATAACTCAGTCATGTCGTCCCAAAACCACACATGAATTGAACACATATCTAGGACACAGAAAACATAAAAATGAAACGTATTTGTGCAGTCTCCACAAGTTGGGTTAATGCTAAAAATATGATAACATGTCGTCACAGAAATATTTATTTGCCACGACACATCACATGACTGATCATGGGACGAGTCAAGTCATGTGACTATGTGCATAACAACTGTGATGCCAAGTTGTTATGTTTATGTAGGAGCTCTACGCCTATTGTACTCTAAAAAACATTCACATGGGACTTTTTTTGTTAAAACTGTTTTAATTTAAAACATATAACGTTCTGAACTTATTACTGATAGCCCTCAGGCTGTTTATTAGGAACATAAAAGTGACACCTATTCACATCAACACAGTATAGTAGTACGTCTTGGAAGTTGTAGATGCCAGTTTTATGGCAACTCATTCCAAAGAGTGTTGCTTTTCAAGTTCAAGTAACAGATGTTGCTTTATCGACTCATATGATCAAAGTACAAACACACCGTAACACAAAGCCACAATCTAAGTAGAACTTTAACCTTGTAGACAATTAGGCAATTTGACCTTGACTCAATATTGGCACACCTGTCATTTTGAAGTTGCAACATTTTGTTCGAGAATGAGTTTTTAGTATTATAACTAAAAAATAACAACATAGGACTATTGCTTAGTAGCCGTTATTTTTATTTATTTAAACTGAAATGTACCAGTTTCAATAAATATTATTATTTTTTAGTGTTATTTACAAATTCGCTTTAAATCTGTCTGAAGTAGTCGATATTTATCAATTTTGATATCAGGAGAATTATACTGTATTCGTTGTTCTTCTAGAACAAATTGCCCGGCCATGTTTCTATAGCAACCAATAGTGTGATGCGTTAAATGTTGTTTTACGAATGTCAATTTGCATAAAGTGTGTCAGGTCATAACGGTCGTCACGCACAGTCAGCTGACATCGGTCTCGTTGGGTGTATATGATATACATATCATATACACCCAACGACACTGATGCCAGCTGACTGTGTCGTCACGTTATTGTGCGTCCACAAAACAACAAATTAACGGCACATCATAAAAAACGAAAACAAAATAAGAAAACAAAATCCAGGATGGCGGCTTCACTGGTATAGTGAATATGGTTAAAATCTAATGATTTGAGATGTACCAGCCAACCATTTGACAGTTTTTTGACGTAACAAATTCTGCCTTGTATATAAGCTTTGACGTCGATTCATTGAGTAGTAAGTAGTGTCATCACAGTATTTAAATATTAAAAAAAAACAGTTTAGAAAGTTTACACAACTGGGCAGACTTGTATAAAATCTCTTGATTTTTGGTTTAAAATAAAAATTGAAATAGTTTATAAGTACCGACTGGATCGCATCAAACGCGGTCTACCAGGCTTTCGTCATTTACACACTCAAGAAATATAATGATATATCGCCAAAAAGAAAACAACAAAAAACAAAGCAAACTGAGACTGTATCCAAGTCTAGCAGGGGTAAATGTACTGATAAATTGGTGTTGTGTAACATTTGTTTTAAAATTTGAAATACGTTTTTAACATCAAATAGTAAGAGTATCGTCAGAATACCTCGAGCTAAAGACTATTCAATAATGGGTTGAGTTGAGCCATCTGTGCATAAACTGTAAATAAGTCACTCCGCCATTTTAAAATTGGTTTGTTTTCACAGTTTGTTTTCAAAACAAAGCTTTGTTTTATAATGGCACTAGTAGCACGTGTAACAACACAGTATAAGATACAAACACGTCATTGATTGCGAAAACATGCGATATATCACAATTATTTTATGAATACTGCCCTCTACCGTTCAATTGAAGAATATAATTAATTATTTATTTAACAGTTTCTGTCATTAAATTACTAGTACATCCATTGAATGATTGCCCTTTAGGATAGATAGTACGTTAGAAATTTAGTTGGTTCGACCATACTTGATTTTCTAAGGGTTACGGATCACAATAGTTTATAACACCTGACTCTCGGCTTTTGTTGTCTTACACGCCGTGTTACACGTTATTAAAACGACAAAGCAAA